CTGACGGGCCTGGGGGAGTCGCGTCGGCGCGTGCTCCGGGGGGCCTTGGGGCGCCGAGAACGAGCCTGGAGTGTCTCCTCACGACAGGCCCCAGGGGTGGCCAGAGTTCCACTACAGAAATGACAAATGCAGATCAGTGGAAACTAAAAACCCAGGATTTCTCCGCGGCTTTGTTTCAAGCTTGGCTTGAACTCAGAAGGGCCGCCAGGATGTTCTCGGCATCAGGGCCCGGTGGGTCCGTCCCCCTGGGTGGGTGTGATGGCGCCCACAGCCCAGCAGGAGACGGGCAGGCGGAGCTGAGGGGAGGACAGAGACCTTAACCACGAGCGGCGGCCCAAGGGCACCCCCAGCCCCGCAACCCCCACTGGCCGCCCCGCATGGTGATGGCGGCCGCCCACGGCCTGGCGCCCCCGGGGAGACGCGCAGGGCCGGGGTGTGCTGTGCCCACCGGGGGGCCTGCAGCTGCGGCTCGGATCCGAGTGTCCAGAGGGGTCTGGACGCTTCAGCCGCGGGCGTTACCGACTGCTTCTTTTGTTTGTTCTCAGGAAGCTGTCGATGAAGGAAGCCTTTACGAATTACCACACTGAGGATTACTTCTCGCAGTTTAACACGGGAAGCCGGTAGCGAGCGCGCCCTCCGCCCGGCGGCGGTGCCTGGGCAGACACCCCATTAAAGGGACAGGCCCGGGTCGGCGGCGTCCTGCGGCTTCTTGGCCCTGTCGGGTCTGCGAGGAGCCGGGTTCCTGAGCCGCTCGGCTCCGTGGGCATCTCTGGGCCACTCGGGGTGCCGCGGTCCCCCAGGACCCGCCGGAGTGGGTGGTGAGCTCCCCGGATTGGGCTCAGCGCCTGAGGGTGGCCGCGAGCCTCCTGGGGCTCAGCTCCCGCCCCGCGCCCGTGAGGCGCCTGAGCCACGGCTGTGGTCCGAGACCGGGGTCCCCGCAGCCCGGGGCGCAGGGACGCTGAGACACAGGGGTCTGGACCCCACCTGGTCAGCCGTCCTTTGGAGGTGACAAGCGGCACCTGGCCACTAGCTGGGGTGAGCCGGACGCCCGCCATGCTCTCGGCGCTGCCCCTCCTGGGCTCACAGGCTCATGGCGGGGGGGCGGAGCCGGAGCCTGGACGGCTGGCCCGGGGTGGGCGCTGCACGGAGGAGGACTCGCTGAGGCAGGGCTGCGAGTCCACCTCGCAGTGAGGGGGGCTCACTGGGCCGTCCGCGCCATTGGGGTTCGGTGTGCCCAGGGGCCACCCCGCGCCCCTGCCCGGCAGGCAGGTCAAGGAGGCCGTGCCCTTGGCCCAGGCGGCTCACGAGAGCGGCCGGCCCGGGGGAGCTGTGGGTTTCGGAAAGGGGCTGCTTGGCAGGGGCTGCCTCCCCCGTCCACTCCCACGCGGCCCCGGACAGCGACGCCTTCGAATCGGCAGCGGGCCTGCTTCAAAGCCAGCGAGAAGCAGGAGCCGGGCGGGGCCGGGCGGGGGCTTACAGGTGGGCGCCCCGGCCCCCCGTATCAGCGCCGCCCCAACACCGGGGTCTGGATAACGAGCCACGCTGGGGCCGTGCCACAGCCTTTCCAGATGCTTCATCTGCGCCCCACGGCCCGCGTGGGAGGCGGCCGGGCTCCCCGGCGCAGCGCGGTGGGCCAGCCTGGGGCCCGCAGGCAGGCCAGCCTCCCAGCCCCCAGGGTCCCCGCCCCTCGTCCGCCCATGCCTCCTCTCCCCAGGTCCCCCGGGTGTCGCCTGGCCTCGTCGTCTCCTGCGGGAGGCCGCCGCTAGCCCTGCCCTCTCGGCGCAGGCTGACACGCCAGGGAGCAGGCCAGGCCAGCCTCCCAGCCCCCAGGGTCCCCGCCCCTCGTCCGCCCACGCCTCCTCTCCCCAGGTCCCCCGGGTGTCGCCTGGCCTCGTCGTCTCCTGCGGGAGGCCGCCGCTATCCCTGCCCTCTCGGCACAGGCTGACACGCACGCTCCTGCTCTCCGGGCCCGGGGTCCACCAGCAGCCCCGCGCCCCTCGGCCCCGGGCACCGTGGGCTTAGCGGCCAGCCGCGGGAGGGCAGCAAAAGCCTGATGGACTCACTCCGCGCGTGCCTCCTGGTGGGCGAGAACCCCTCTTGCAAGGGGGCGCGGGGTGGGGTCCTCCTGGTGGCGGGCCCAGCCGCGCAGGGAGGGGTGCCCAGTGCGGCCCCCGAGGGCCACAGGGCTCCCCGCAGCCCTGAGCTTTGCGTCTATGTGGCCACGAGGGGGCGCCAGGCCCGACACCCGGCTGAGCTGGCTCCAAGCGCGCCCCCTGCTGGTGGCCAGCAGGGGAACAGGCCGGGGCCGGCCCAAGGAAAGCCCAGCCAGGCTATTG